AATTTGTGTTTTCTCTCCCTCTCCCTCTCCCTCTCCCTCTCCCTCTCCCTCTCCCTCTCCCTCTCCTCTCCCTCTCCCTCTCCCTCTCCCTCTCCCTCTCCCTCTCCCTCTCCCTCTCCCTCTCCCTCTCCCTCTCCCTCTCCCTCTCCCTCTCCCTCTCCCTCTCCCTCTCCCTCTCCCTCTCCCTCTCCCTCTCCCTCTCCCTCTCCCTCTCCCTCTCCCTCTCCCTCTCCCTCTCCCTCTCCCTCTCCCTCTCCCTCTCCCTCTCCCTCTCCCTCTCCCTCTCCCTCTCCCTCTCCCTCTCCCTCTCCCTCTCCCTCTCCCTCTCCCTCTCCCTCTCCTCTCCTCTCTCTCTCTCTCTCTCTCTCTCTCTCTCTCTCTCTCTCTCTCTCTCTCATCTCTCTCTCTCTCTCTCTCTCTCTCTCTCTCTCTCTCTCTCTCTTCCTCTCATCGCTGCCGGCCACTTACCTGCACTCATTTTCAGAAAGTGAACATAAGAAACAAAACTTTTCAATTCAGCACGAAGAACCTACTGCTCGTGGACTTATTTTACCTCCAAGGATTCCAATGACTTCACTTCGCCTATGCAGCGCACGGGTCTGTCAACGTCCCTAGAATGCATCGAAGATTGAATGTATTTATGTTGGATCAGTGATTGTTTTTTCCCGCCCACGTCAAAATAAACGCCAAAAGCCAGCTGTCGCATTTGAGAGCGAATATTCGGACAGCAGAAATCGAATCCTCCCACGACTAATGGTCGAGTACAGCATTGTTGGCGAAGCGTACGCACCACAGAGCGAATGGCAACCCTTATCAAGGAACTAAAATTAACCGAGCGACTTCGAAATCACTTAAAGTGGCCGACTGCATAGGCCATGCATTCCACTCCCCATAGAGCGTATGAGTGGAAACCTCCACAAAACGGAAGGGAGGAACGGCAGCAAGAAATTTACGGACATCATGCCATGCGTCGGTCTACCTCCCACGCAGGCAGCCATCGCCAGAACTCTAACCAGTATGAACTGCTAAATTCAATTTGCAGTCATCATAATCATTGTCACCAACACACAAATTGTCCAAATGTTTGCGTAATAAGTGCTACGAAAGCTGAAAATGCTCTTGACAAAAACTGCTAACACGACGCCATTGTCCCGCAAATTCAACGGAACGTTGAATATGGCTTTGGCTTTATAACTATGGCTTTGTTTTCTCCCCTACTGCGCTCGCCACAGCAGGCCTTCTTGTCAGTAAGTTATTAAATGTTAAGGACGCATCAACTGCATTGACCATTTTAGCCCATGTCTTGTTTTTAAGAACCTTCGTCGACAGAGCCAAGAGCAGAACTATGTCAGCACAAGGTCATCAGTGTCTTAGTGACTCAGAGCGCTCCCCAGCTGCGAATCGGAACCGTGCATCACAGAAGTACCACACGTCGTATGAATATAAAAAGTGTGCGGGTCATGTGGCCCACCTTCCAATTGTCTAGGCCGGTGAACATGGCCACAAAAGTTAAAAGTCGGTGCATATGAGCAAAGTGAAAATTGCTCGGAGATCGATAGACGGCGGTCACGCAACAAACAAGCCAAAATACTGTAATTCTTGGAGATAAAAGTTCTGCTAAATCTCGTAACCCCGACACTCCGCTAGTACGTTGGCCATGGACAACTCTACTCCGTGTCTGCAGCAAGGTGGTCGAGCTCCCCCGGACAGCAGATAAGAGTGCGTCTTGTACGTGTGGCCCATGCGCAGCCGATTATTTACTTATTCATTCATTCATTCATTCAAATACTCGTTTGCTTCATTCACTACTGCATGTTGCATTTCGCCGTTCTTCATATGTTGTACAGATGATGAAAATCCTTTGCACAGGTACAAAAATCATGCTACTTTTTGGAAATATTTCATTCAAGCTTTTGAATGAACTGATTTCTGTGATCAAGCTTTTGAATGAGCTGATTTCTGTGATAAGAATTCACGCTAAGCAGCGCTTCTGAGAGCCGCGACCCGTACTATCCGATCGCGCAATTCTAGGCCAATGGGCAGACTTTGGTGGCAAAACGTGCCACAATGCTCGGCAGGGCCCATCCTGTCCTCTGCCGTTGCCTGGCCTTTCGCGCCGCCGCAACTACCGGTCGCAGGCCATTCCTGTCAAGACCAATAACAAGCGCCTAAACTGACTTACACCCACCGTGCCCATGGTAGATGAATCAGAAGGCAGGTGCTCTAACCACTGAGCTAATGAAAGGAAAAAATAACTTATGTTCCAGGGATATCTTGGACCTCAGTCAATGCACCAGTTCAGTGGTATCGAAAGCTAAGTGGTAACCCGAGCTAGGGTTTCAAACTGGGATAATGCAAACCATGATATGGAATTGTTAGAACTAAATTAAATTAATGCATTGTGATAAAACCAATGGGAGCCAAAAACCAGGGTCTGGTGTAAGAATGGAAAAAATAAAAACCATTGACCAGAATCTGGTTGTGGCAGAACAACCCATCAATACCACAAAGTACGAACCATGACCTGGTGTTGGTGGAGGTACTTAAGGGAACTATGAACCAGGGTCTGGTCTTTGTGAAAATCAATGAGACCCAGAGATTGGTGTCTGGCCTATGTAAAACAATCAACAGGTACCAGGAGGCAGTGCCTGATAATCAAAAGAATCATTGAAAGACATGACCTGGCAAAGAGCACAGGTCTGGTGTTTACAAAACTAATGGAATCCAGAAACCTGAAGCCGGTGCTTACAACAAAAAAGAAGAGGTAACTGGGATCTTGGGCCTAATTTGCATGAAGGAGCAAGTGGTACACAGGCAGCAACAAAGAAGTTCAAGCACATACGTGATTGGCATTTTATGTGGTTGTAAGGCAGCAGTCTTGTGCCATCAGGCTTAATTTATGAAGGTGGAAGACCAATTCCCACAAGCAGCATATAAGTCTGGCCAGGCTAAAGACAGTTTATCTCAGCATGTCCTAGTTTAGGCCAATTAATTATTTGACTAACCCCTGGCAATGCTGACATTCATGTCAGCCATCAACAATCTTTGAAATGTAGTCATATTGTCCTTACCTTGTAATTGTTCTTGACAAGCTCTGTCACCAAAGCCAGTCCCACACCTCGGGAGCATCCAGTCACAACAGCCACCCTGCTTGACTGCATTTCTGGTATCATCTGAAATAACCAAGCCTGGATGATGGAACCATTCTGTTACATGCACCCTAGAGAAGTTCATAAAGTCATTAAAAATATGAAATTCCTTGACTGAAGAAAGAGTAAGGATGATAACACTACAGGCAAGAATCAATCTTGGCATGATGTTTTTGGATTTTGTGTTGCTTCAGCTTAATTTGGAGCCTGGCTGTCTGTGTCAGTAATAATTGGATCAGCAAAGCATAACACAACTAGTATGTAATACATGCAATTATACTTTCAAATGCCACCACAAAATAGGGATTGATCTACAAGGAATTCAGCATCCTTACTGGCTGGTCAAAAATACAGGTTCCAGGAGAGATAAAGGATGCAAAATGCCAAAGTATAGCAATAAAACTTAAACCTATAACTTTTTCTCCTGCACATTAGCTTACACATTTTTAAGCACTTCTATTTGACTGATCATGTGTGCTGTGGCTTCATATATTACAAAGGGAGATAACATACCAGGAAAGAACAAACTTTAGCATTGCTGAATGTTGAGATAACACAGCCTGGTTAGGCCTGGGATTACAAATATTTTTCCTCAGCTAAAGCTTAGAGTACAGCACAGTCTGCAACAAATGATTCACTGTACCACGTGCCCACAAAGCATTGGTATGCTGAGCATTACACTCCTATCCACCAGCCTTGGGCCAGGCAATAATTGTGCTGTATTAATTGCACCAATATTGTCCTTGCAACATATTCAATTCCTTGAGAGATAAGCTTTCAATGCACTGAAATTAGCAGCAGTCTGAGCCAAGTTCTGAGCACTTTAACACCCACTTGGTTTCCTGACACATATACTCTGAAATTACCTCTACAATGTCACTGATATGCTTAGCATGTTCAGTGGAAGAGGTATGTTTTGAAATTTAGTCCACTGATACTTAATTGATGGGTGGCATCGAGAATCACGAATATTCTCACATATACCAGATACCCACACACCAACTAGCACTCTTCATGTCTGAAAACTGGACAACAAAACATGTAACTTACAAAAGATTGCGCTAGAACAATGGCTCAACACTGAATCCTCCTAACACGCAAGAAAGGAGGGGGAGGCACAGAACAGTTCCGCTAACTGCCCGCTCGTAATTGTGATAACAATGTCCACACCAGCCTCCTTTCACTTGTCTTCTTGGATTAGGGCGCATAGCCTCCTGGGATCAAGCGTCCGTTTCAGTTGTCTTCGTTGCGTCCCTTTTGTATTCAGATTTTCCTTGCAGCTTTTTTGGGGGCGGGGGGGGGGATACTCTGGAGACTAAGCATGGTAGGGGAACATGAAAGACAGCCACAGGATGGATCCTGGTGCAAAGGATGTATTATTACTCAGTAGTTAATAATATCTGCAGCTACAGATTGTGAGTCACTGTATCTACGTACAAGTAAGCTACTCATTTACATCAACAGGCATGGTCTCCTCGATCACCTCGCCTGTTCCACCCAAACAATAGCACAAGATCTCGCAATTCCAGTGACACACGACACGACATGGACCGCGGTGGCGCGCACGTTTGTTTTTTACACTCTGGCGCAGAATCTGCTCTCCATGCGTCGCATTTAAATATCTAGATATTGCTACATTATCGATCAGTTCGCGTCTATCCTTATGGTTCGCTCAACCCGACGAGTTGGTCGCCGGTCTTTCATCGTTTTTCGCCTCGCTACGGGGTATCCCCTGTTAATGCTAAACTACAAAGCAATATAAAGTTATGGCAAAATAATATAGATAGAAGCGAGCTCACACACGCAATGACCACACACACACACACATGACCACACACACACACACACACACACATGACCACACACACACACACACACACACACACACACACACACACACACACACACACACACACACACACACACACACACACACACACACAACACACACACACACACACACACACCACACACACACACACACACACACACACACACACACACACACACACACCACACACACACACACACACACACACCACACACACACACACCACACACACACACACACACACACACACACCACACACCACACACACACACACACCACACACACACACACACACACACACACACACACACACACCCACACACACCACACACACACACACACCACACACACACACACACACACACACACACACACACACACACACACACACACACACACACACACACCACACACACCACACACACACACACACACACACACACACACACACACACACACACACACACACACACACACACACACACACACACACACACACACACACACACACACACACACACACACACAACACACACACACACACACACACACACACACACACACCACACACACACACACACACACACACACACACACACACACACACACACACACACACACACACACACACACACACACACACACACACCACACACACACACACACACACACACACACACAACACACACACACACACACACACACACACACACACACACACACACACACACACACACACACACACACACACACACACACACACACACACACACACACACACACACACACACACACACACACACACACACACACACACACACACACACACACACACACACACACACACACACACACACACACACACACACACACACACACACACACACACACACACACACACACACACACACACACACACACCACACACACACACACACACACACACACACACACACACACACACACAACACACACACACACACACACACACACACACACACACACCACACACACACACACACACACACACACACACACACACACACACACACACACACACACACACACACACACACACACACACACACACACACACGTACACAAAAACATGAATCAATCACTGCTTTCATACCACCGTCCACCAATTACGATGCCTCTCAAGACTTGAGCACATTTGTGACCTCGCATTGAAATTCAAATAATGGCGAACGGCACAAACAGTAGCCATATTACGTGGTGGATCAAAAGGAAAAACAAAACGAAAAACGCATGCAAACACATGATAGATCACACTTTTACAAGTCTCAAGTTTGTCATACATGCGCACGCAGAATCATGCACTAGCACTATAGCTCTTTCAAAAGCTTGCAAAGGCGTAAGAATCTGAACACTTCGTCAATAAGAACTGGATAATCATTGCCAATTGGCGATTTCATACAAAGTGGCGTTCCATGTTCGTTACAGATTTCCACAATACGTCGCCGCTGACGCGCTAATAATGGGCATTCTACTAACATATGTTGTACTGTTCGAGGGCACACACAGTTCTCACAGGTAGGTCTTGGTTCTCGATCCATAAGGAACGAATGGGTATATCTTGTGTGTCCTAGCCGTAGTCGGCATAGGATGATTTCTTCGCGCCGGTTGATCCTCGTTGAGGAGTCCCATTGTCCTATGTTCTCTTTTACTGTTTTCAGTGTTGTATGGGGTCCGTGCCTATGCCAGGTTTTGTTGAAAGAATTTCTTATAGCAGAGTGCAAAATCGGCAAGTACTCTCTGTAGCCTATTTGGGTTTCAAGTATTTCGTTTAACAGCACTGCCGCCTTTGCCTGCGCATCTGCTGTTTCATTTCCTCCTATACCACAGTGACCTGGAATCCACATGATTTTAATCTCGAATCCCTTTTCTAGTAAACGGTGCGAGGTTTCAAAAATATTTAACATCACCGGATGGTTAAAAGTATAATTTTTTAGTGCAGTGACCACCGACAAAGAATCAGTGCATATTACACATTTCTGTTTACCCTTGGTTTCCACATATTCCATTGCCTGAGATATAGCCATGGCTTCAGCAATAAACACTGAACATTTTCCTGGCAGTTTAAATCGAGAATAGCTTTCCGAGTGGACGTAGGCACCGCCGACTCCCTCAGTAGTTTTTGAACTGTCCGTAAAAATATAAGTAAAAGCAGGGGCATCCGTTCTTAGTTCACAAAAGTCATTTTGAATTTGACGTACATTCAGAGAACTCTTTTTTTCATTTGTCAGTTTTTTGGTTTCATATATCCGTAGCTTCCAAGGTGGTATGGAAGCTTTCTTTGTCTCTAAGTTATGAGGGAAGTCGAATTCTATTTCATTACATATGATTGTCATTCTTTCGTACAGTGGAAAACCAGAGATTCTTTTCATATATTCTCTTTCCACTTGGTGTAAAGAAGCCGTTTCAGCGGTAGGCCTCTGGCACGGATGACTGTCCTCGCCTCGTGCCTTAATGCAGTATCTTATTGTCAATTCATGTCGTCGCAATAGCAGGGGAAGAATATCTGTTTCGACCTGTAATGGAAGCATAGGCGAAGCTCTCGACGCCCCCGTTGCTATACGTAAGCACGCATTTTGAACACATTCTAATGACTCGATCGCTGTGTTATTTGGCCCATCTAAGATAGGGCATGCGTACTCCAAAATGGGCCTGATCATCGCTTTGTAGATTCTTGGGAGGGTGGCTCTATCAGCACCACATCCTCGGCCTGCTAGACATTTTAGAATTGCTATTCGTTTTAGAGCCCTTGCCTTGGTGTACTCAATATGCTTGTTCAAGTTGAGTCTGGAGTCTAACATCACCCCGAGAAATTTCACTTGTTCAGAGTAAGTCACATGCTGATCATAAATCTTGAGTTCCGGTATATTCCTTAATTCCCGCTCCTTCATAAACCGTCGAAAAATAATGGCGTTGCACTTCAGAGGCGAAAAAATAAACCCCATCTGTCTGCCCATGCACAAACACGATCCAGTGCTGCCTGCATTCTCTCGATTAATGGCATAGTCCTTCTTCCTTGCACCCACATTGTACAGTCGTTGGCATACAGCGCATTGGACATATTTCTGGGGGCATCATTGAAAATGTCGTTTATCATGATGTTGAACTGAATAGGGGATATCACCTCACCCTGCACAAGTCAATTTTCTTGCTCACATACGTTGGAGAGTACACCGCATTTCACCTGAAAGGTTCTACCATTTAGATAAGACCTTAGGTAATGCATTAAGTGTCCTCCGAAACCAAGTTGGTACATTTTCGTCAGCAGTGCCACCTTTGATGTCATGTTATATGCGCTCTTTAAATCAAGGAAGACCGCTAATGTATATTTATGGTAGAAAAAACCTCTTCTGACCTCGGACTCCAGTCGAATTAGATGATCAGAGGTGCATCTTCCCGTCCTAAAAGCACACTGACACTCTGATATCATATTGCTATTTTCTATGTACCATGAAAGTCTTTTGGCCACCATCCTTTCCATTAATTTGCTAAAACACGACGTCAACTGAATCGGTCTATATGATTCAGGTTTGTCGCCCGGTTTACCAGGTTTCATAATTGGAACAATAATGGAGTGTTTCCACTGGACCGGAAAGCTTTCCGAACACCATATATAATTAAACATTTTCAAAACTTCCTCTAACTGATTGTCATTCATATGCTTGAAGAAAGCATAATGGATTTTATCTGGGCCTATTGAGGTGTTTCCACATAATGCAATGGACTGTTGGAGCTCATCCATGGTGAAAACAGCGTTATATACTTCGTTGTTGTCAGAAGAAAAAGTTGGTATTTCTTGTATCACTTCATTTAAATGATTCCTAAAAATTGGTCGGTAGTTCTGGGAAGCACAAGTACTGGAGTAGTATTTTCCCAACACATTTCCCACCTCCTCAGGGTCATCAATAATAGCACCGTCAATGTTCATAACAGGTAGCCGCCTTTGTGTCCTCTCCTTTTTCGTAAATCTGCGTATAATCCCCCACAGCTGTTGTACAGCAGTGGTGTGGTTGAATACATGCAGAAGTTTTTCCCACGAGTTCTTTTTGGCTTTACGAATAACTTGCCTGGCCTTTGCTTTAGCTTGTTTGTATTCCATTAGGTGGACATTCTGTCGATTCCGTCTAAATCGGTTAAGTGCCATTTTACGATTTCGAATAGCGTCTTTGCACTCTTCGTTCAACCAAGGGCAGCTATATTTTGTTTTCCCGGTTTTCTGAGGAATGGTTTCCGTTGCCACTCTGACTATAGTCTCAGTCATAGTCGCAAGGCTGCTGATACCAGCTGTTTCATCAAATCGCATATCACATTTTTCCG